ATTGCATCAGCTAGTATCTACAGAGGCACTTATCAAGTCAGACAACAACACCACCTCCCCTCAAGAAAATGCACATGCAATGTGTCGCCCACATGCAAATGAAAGGGAAAATGGGAAGAGTAAACAAGTCGAATCTCAACACAACATAATTATCAAGCAAGGAAAAAAACAAAAAAAAAACGATTGTAAGCACAATAATATGAGGCCAAGGCATATTGATCTGAAAATAAGCTGGACAGTTTAGAAACATACTCCCCCTTTAGTCATCTGTGATGCAGTTGGAAATTGAGTAGTGGCTTCCCCAGAAAATATGTTTAAATAAATGCTTGGCGATGAAGCCCTCCTGCATCAAGCATGCTCGGTCAAGTTTCATAATGTTAGCATGTGGAGCATACACTTCATTTGTTAGAAACTACGTACCTGTCCGATATGCGATAAGCTGCCCAACATGGATTAAGAGTTTCTGCTGCTTTCTCAGCTTTATTTCCCTTCTCTGATTCAGCCATCCAATAGAGAGCTTGTTTCTGATACGGTTTCAAATTACAGGTTAGGGTCCATGGAGGCTCCATCTCCTGCACAATTAAAAGAGAATGATTAGGGGAAGATGCTAAAGATGAGATTCAGAGCTATATATTCCCTCGATCCTGGAAATAAGAGATTTAAAGCTTTTACCTCCAAGTCATATGTATCTACAGCACCAACAAGTTTATTCAAAGATGACTCAGAGAAAGCTTGTTCATCCTTCTCTTGATCTTGCTGGCATCCTGATCCCCTTTTCACTACATGCAACATAAGGGCATCTTCCTCTGGATCCTGTTTTTATCAACAATTTAAGTATTCGCACTAAAATGAATGCACTCGTAATTTAACCATATGCTTTAAATAGTTCAGATGCTGGAAACAACAACACTTACAGTTCCATGTTATGAGATGAATTCAGTCATTTCAATAAGATTTAACAAACTAACAGTAGTTCTTTTTGTAAAAATTGGAATGTTAGAAGCAACTTCCATATGCACTATCAAATTCAAGATGTCAAATGCAGTTGCACGAAGGTTTCAACCATACGGGGCAATACAATGGTAAGGCCAGATGCACTATATTTTATCCAAGTTACAAAAAGGTCATCTTTAAATGCCAGCTCTTGACATAGCATTTAATTAACCAATAATAAGAACCAAAAATTAGATACATCTACATTCACAAGAGCAAGTGGAATATATCAAAACAATTCCATTGTTGGACAAAAGTATAGGCATACATACTTCATAGTTGAGGGGTCGCTTTCGAGAGTCAAGTTCTGCAGGACTAAATTCAGCCTGGTTGAACAAGGATAAAAGGTCAAGAATAAAAAGCAAAAGTCAATTAAAAGACTCCATCAAAATCACAAACTGGTATATAACAGTTAGAATTTAACATTACAAAGGAAAATAAAAATTAATGATACCTTCTGATATGGTTTCATGTCCAGTAACTTGAACAACGTAGCAAGGGGGTGAACTGTAGGATCAATGTTTGGAGGAGCAGCTAGCCTCCATGTTGAAATACACAACTCAGTGAATATCGATTGGTGAACATAGAAACTGGCAAACAAATTAAAATAGGTACTATGAAAAGTCAACCAATCAAGTCAAAATCATTGCCAAACAGATCCAAACTGAAATAATAAGAGGAAAAAAAACAGAATTTTACCTCACATACAACACAACATCCTGCAACATTTGAAGGTTCTCTGGTGCAGCTACACATCGTCCACTAACTCTAACCTTGCCAGAACTCACGAGTGGAACAACACTTTTTCCCCACTCCATCGGAAGCCTACCAATCTAACCAAAAAAAAAACAATCAAGTGATCGCAATCCTTGAAAATGAAAAAAACCCATGTTCAGAAATATATTCAATCAGAAATATATTCAAATAAACAATCAACTTATCGCTCATAAGTACTCTTGCACGGTTATAATACATGATAAAGAAATAAATAAAGTTAAATCTTTTTTTATATTTCAAAAAATCTAAGACTCCAGTAAAGAAACTAATAGCAATAAAACTGACCTCTCCAAATCTTTTAGTAGAGAATCGAATAATGCCCTGTCTATGATACTTGGAGCCAAAACTAGAGAAACCAAAATGGACTATTTCATTGTCCACCAATTTCCTTCCTTTAGTAGTTGATGAAGCGGTAATAAGAGAGCCACCAACCAAGTACCAATCTTTCTCTTCTGGGAAATCACCAGTTTCCACTTCAACAACATTCTCATCAGCCAATTCTTTTCTGACATGGGTTTGGACCCGAATCCCGGTGCCTGTTCGCGTACTCATTTAATAGTTGCTTGCTTCTGGGTCGTCGCGATTGATCCGTAAATATCGAAGATTTTTCTTTTCGTGTTTTTTGTTTTATTGGGAGTATATGAGGTTAACGTGATTTACATTTTTACCAAGGTAACTCAGGTTGTCCTAATTTATGAATGTGGTGGGTTGATTTTTTTAGTTGAATTTGATTTTTTTTTATAATGTATTGTTTTCTTCTATAGTTAAAAAAATAGTTTTAAAGAAAATTCATGTTATTAAACTTTATAAAATAACAAAAAAAATGAAGAGAAAAAACCACTGTTTATATACATTACGCTATAAATGACAATAGTAATTCATAGTGTTTTTTTTTTTTTGAATTTTTGTTATGGTTTTTTAATTTATTTTTTTTGTCAATTTCATCTTTTAATATTAGGATAGTTGAGAATTTGGTTTTATTTTTTCCTTTTAGTTTATTTTTCTATAAAGTTAGTATGGTTTGTGGGTCTATTGGGGTAATCCAAGTTGCCTTGGTTTACGAGTTTGATGAGGTGAATTTTGTTTATTAAACTTGACTTTTTTATCATCTATTTTTTTTATATATATAGTTAAAAACAAAGTTTCAAAGAAAATTTATGTTATTAAACTTTATAAAGTTCATAGATCTATTTATATATTTGGCTAGCTGACTTGGTTCGCATGTTTAGTAAGTTTAAATTTTTTTTAATTATTATTTTTTATTTTATCATTAAATACTGGGTTAATTGAGAATTTAATTTCAAAATTAGTTTTATTTTGCCTTTTATGAAGTTATTGCGATCTAAAAAACATCACAGTATTGGGTTGATGGTTGATTTCACAAGCATCTATTTTTTGTTATCATATAGTTAATTAAAAAATAGTTTTGAAAAAAAATAATCTTAGTGGAGTCCACAACTTAGATTACAAGTTTGACATATTAGCCTAACTTACTTGATTCATAGATTTAACGAGTTTACTTATCGATATGATATGTGTTTTTTTTTGTTTTTTTAATTATTTTTAATTTATTGTTTTTCAATTTCATCATTTAATATTGGATTGATTGAGAAATAAATTACATTATTGATTTATTTTTTTACTTTCTACGAAGATAATTATTTCAAATAAGTGCTTATTTTTAGGTTGGCTCTCTGTTTTGTGAGTATTTATTTTTATCATATAATTAAATAAAAAATAAAAAATTATTAAACTTAATAGAGTCCATAACCAGGTCATGAGGAGATTGAAATCGATCCAATCTATCATTATCTTAGTATTTAGCAAAAAATTATCATCTTGAAGATTTTTTAAAAATTAAATTATGTTTTTATCGATCATTAAGGATACATTTGGACCTATGAAATCTATCGATTTAAGTTGAGTTAGCTCCCATGTGGTTTAATTGAAAACTTGAGTTAGACAAGGAGATGAGTCACAAGATTTCAAAATTAACCTACCTGGTCAGGTTTAATGTCATTATTAAAAAATTATCTACATGCTCTTAATATATATTTTTTACATTTTTTTTTAAAAGTAATCCGACCCGTGACAAAGCGCGAATCAATAGGAAAAATATCGGTAGTGTGTTTTTCACTAGATGTCTATGTATCATTTTATTCCTGAGTAGAAAAAATTGAGCCTTGGTTATAGAGGTAATTTAGTCTTTTTTAGTAATTTATTATTCCTTAAAAGATTGCTAGAGGTAAATTAATTTTTTCCAATTTTTTTTATATAGTAAAATGATGTGTTTACCTCTAGGTTTTTTATTCATGTTTTTTTATTATTTATTTTCATTGATGATCTTTTTATAATTTTTTATATTTTTAATTTAATAATTAAATTATAATTTATTATTTATTGTTTTTTCTAATTTGATACTTATTTTTTTCACTTATGACTTTTTTTCCCTGACCTTTTTGTTAATATTTTATTGATTTTCAATCTTTTTTTTCAATTAAAGTTTATGTAATTTTATTTTTTTTCAATTTAGCTATTTTTTTTCCTTTAGCTATTTTTTTTCTTTCTAATTTAACCTTCAAAATTGAATTTTTTTAAAATAACTTGCATCAACTAAAGGTAAAACATAAGTTATGAGAACAAAATAAATTCATTGAAAAAAATAAAAAAAATACAAAACTCTAATTATAATAGATCAACTACCAAACACACACTAAAGGTCAAAATTGATAAAAATAAATAAATAAATCCATGAGACTGACATATAATCCAACAATAAAAAAAGTATAATTTTTAAAAAAAATGAAATTGAAATATAAATTAAAAAAATTAAGTTTACGAAGAGTGAAATTATATAAAAAAAAAAAACCATAACACTATTCTAGCAGCATCAGTGAAGCCATTTTCATTTTTCTCTCTTTCTAAACATAAATTCACAAACACAGCCACTAAGATGATCATGACCTCTGCTAAGAGAAAATTTGCCTTAATTACCTAGTCCATGTCTCACCTAACAAATACAATGGCAGATCAAACATTTATAGAACCATCTGTAAAACCATTGGATTTTCAGTTTTACACAATTGACTCTATTCAGCTGCAAATGATGTTAATTTTTTCTCCAAAGGAAACAAATTCTACAAAAACATGCGGAGAAAAGGAGAGCAATTCGGAATATCATTTGAAACTACAACAAACACACCCTTTGTGTTTCCTTAATTGCATGAGAACTAAGTGGCTAAAAGAAAAAACAAAAATTCAATAAAGAAAGAAAATTGCAGCACTGAGAATCCACAATCCAATCCATACAAACAAGAAACTGGTTATTAGTCATGAAGCAGATAATCACTCAAACTAGAATCCAAAACCCAATAAAAAAATCTCACCAGCATCGATAACAGCATCCCAATCGGTTTTCCCATCTTTCTGAAACTGCTTCAAGTCCCAAGTCCCTGAAATCCACCTGGGGTCCCCAAATTTACTCACTTCAACCTTCTCCTCTCCCCCAGCAGCCACTGCTCCATTAGAGCTATTTTCAGCCATAGGAACTGAATCAGAAGACTCTGGTGTCTTCTGCTCCAATTTTGGTTCCTCTACAGTGGCAGCGGAGGCTGAAACTCCAGCTCCTCCATTGTCTGTAGAGGCCTTGGGAGTGGATAGGAGAAAAGGAGGGTTTGTGGGTCCGAGAGAGAGTGTCGATTTGTAGGTGAAATGGGGTTTGGAAGGTTGAAAGCGAGTTAGTGGCGGAGAGAGCAAAGACATTGATATGGACATTGTTTTCTTGGTGGAGCTTGAGCTTGTGTTTGTTTGCGTCAGTTTGGATCTAGTTATCCTCAGCCTTCCAAGTTACAAAATACATACAAATGAAAATGGGGTTTCTGTAATTTAGATTTCTTTTCATCACATAGGCTAGCAAAAAAAATTAAAAAATATGATACTCGGAAAACTATAAAAAATTAATTAAAAAAATCAAATCACAAAAAAAAACTAAATAAAATATTTAAAAAAATATTTCGTATAAAAAATTAATTAAAAAAATCAAATCATAAAACAAAAAACCAAATAAAATATTTAAAAAAATATTCCATTTAATTTTGGTTTGATAAACCTAAACTAAAAAACCAAACAAAATAAAAAAAAAATCAAACAAACAAAACTAAATCAAAACCAGGCCCATTAGAAAGTAAAAAAAGCCAAAAAATATATAGTTTTTTAGATTTTAATATAAAATAACTGAAACTGATACCAAACCGCCTAAAATTGAATCGAATAGAACAAAATCAAAATCGATCAATTGAGTTTTGGTTTTTAATATAAAATAACCGAATTAAACTAAAACCAGTCAGTTGGAACCAATTTTGGTTTAGTTTTAGATTTTTTTATATTTTACAAAATTTTAAGTAATTGTTTTTGTAACTAAAAACCAAACCGAAAATAATCACCCTTAATATGAGAGATAGTGTTTTCTAAACTGAGTCAAATATAGGTGTTAAGCCGAACCTTTTAAGATAAAGAAAGAAGTTGCTACTATTTCTAAATATAAATTTAATACTAAACTTACCTTTAATCATGATATTAAATATTTAAGGTGTTTTATAGTTGGATATATTATTTTTTAATATTCGAACAAAAAAATAATGATTTTAAAAGATCATAACAAAATTAAATTCAAAAAAATAATGATTTTAAAAGATCATAAATTTAAAAGTAACAATAATAATAATAATAATAATAATGAGATATCACTATTTTAAGATAGTAATAATAAGGATATAGAGTTTTCAGTTAAGAGAAATTATTGGTCTTCAACATTCATTAAATGTTTAAATTAAAAAGGATGATTTGGGAAGCAAATGAAGGATATTTTCCATGCAATGTGTTATATTTGTAATAATTTATGTAATATGATTATTAAATGTAGAAGTTATGTTAATGTTGTTAGTATTATACTTGTTAAAAATTTAAATCTAAATACTATTAAAGATTACAAACTATATAGGTTGTAATGGTTGAATGAATATAGAGAAGTTAAGGTCAATATACATGTTTTAGTGCTATTTATATAGAAAATATCATAATAAAATTTTATGTGGTGCAGTATTTATGCATGCGAGTCATTTGTTATTGAAAAGGGTATGGTAATTTGATAATAAAATAGTACATAATGTGTTTAAAAATAAATATTATTTTGTAAAAAATTGAAAAATCATCATTCTTGTATTATTATCACCAAACTTATACCATTATCATCCAAATAGGTATATAAAGCCTAATTGAAATTGAAAAGAGAAAGGGAAAGTGAGGCCAAGAGGAGTGAAAATAATAGAAAGGCAATAGGTTCAGAGAAGAGAGAAAATAAGGTGAGTCATAAGAGGAAAAAAAAATACATGAGTTTTTATGCAAAATAGAGTGAGATTAAAAGTTTTTGTTATATCATAACCAACTAATGATTGTACTTTTATACAAAGAAACTTTTCTTAACATTAATAAACTTGATCCTTATCTTCCTAGTATGATTGTTTTTGTATTATAGGAATTCAAAGATGTATTTCTTGAAAAGCGGTCTGCTACCGATAAAAAGAATTGAATTTCAAATCAATCTTGTACCTGGCACTGCTTTTCCTAACCAACCAACTTATCAAAGTAAGACAAAGAGTTTAAAGACAAGTTATGAAGCTAAAGGGGTACATAAGAAAAATCATAAATCTATGTGTTGTTTCGATGTTACTTATGCCGAAAAATAATGGAACTTGAAGGATATTTGTTAATTATTGTGTTGTCAACAATACTACGATAAAGTATAAACATCTCATTCATCGGTTTAATGATATGTTAAAATGCATAGTTCTTATGATCATACAAAGACTAATATAAAATATAAATATTTTCATATTAGTTAAAAGAAAAAGATGAATGAAAAATGCATTTAAAACTAAATATGGACTTTATAAATAGTTGGTGATACCATTTGAACTTACTAATATGCCTAATATTCTTATAAAAGTGATGAATCATGTTTGGAGTACATTTATTCCTATATTCATTGTGATATATTGTTAATGATATCTTAGTTTATAGTAAAAGCTTGGATGACCATGTTGAGCATTTGAATTGTGTAGTTTTTTAAGAAAGGAAATGTTATTTGCTAATATAAAAAAGTATACTTTTTGCATAAAAAAAGTTGTGTTTCTTAGTTATGTTGAAAGTGCAAAAGATCTCAAAATAAATGAGGAAAAAGTTAAGGTTCAATAATGGCCTATACCTAAGTCAATAATTGAGGCAAGAATTTTTTCATGGTTTGCAAAATTTTTATAAGAGGTTTGTTAAGAATTTTAGTACAATGGCTATATATAGCACTCGCTGAAATCATTAAAAAGTCAATTAATTTTAAATAGGGTATTGAACAAGATAAAACATTTAATCTTCTTAAAAAGAGATTAAATTCAACACCATTATTAGCATTAGCTGACTTTCCTAAAGTTTTTAAGATTAACTGTAATGTCTTAGCAATAATTGTTGGAGCTATTTTAATATTAGAGAAATACTTGTTTTTTTTTATTTTAGTAAAAAGCTTAATGGTGTAACATTGAATTACCCTATTCATAACAAGAAGTTTTATATATTAGTGAAGACTTTAAAGAGTTAACAACACTACTTATAACAAAAACAAATTATAATCCATTTAGATTACAAGTTGCTGAAACACTTAAAGGGACAAGATAAATTGAATCAATAACATGTCAAATTGATGAAGTTTATTAAGGCCTTTTTGTACGTGATTAAATACAAATAAGGTAATAAAAATATAGTGGTTGATGCACTATTTAAAAGGTATATTCTTTTTTCTATTGTAAATATGAAATTGTTGGGACTTAAATGTGTGAAAAAAATAGTATGTCAATGATAGTGATTTCACTGATATATATGTTGCTTGTGAAAGTTTTATAGACTTGATAATTACCTGTTTAAATAGAATAAATTATGAGTGTCTGATACTTATATGTGTGAATTATTTGTTCATAAGGCTTGTAAAGGTGGTTTAATGTGGGTATTTTAGTGTTAAAAAGACTTTATATGTTTTGCATTAATATTTTTAGTAGTTTAAGATGAAACATAATGTGCAAAAAATGTGTGACAAATGCATTACATTTAGACAAGCTAAGTTTAAAGTTTTATTGTATCTCTTTTTCATATACCTAAGAAACCTTAAATATATATTTATATGGACTTTGTTTTAGAATTACCTAAGTTAAAAAAGGGTTGAAATTCTATATTTATGGTTGTAGATAAGTTTGCTAAGATAATATATTTCATACCATGTCATAAAATCGATGATGAAACCAACATAACTAATTTATTCTTTAGGAATATAGCATGGCTTTATGGGATTTTTAAGAACATATCTCTGAATAACGATATTAAGTTTTTTAAAAGGTCTTGTGGGAAAAGTTAGGAACTAAGTTATTGTTTTTTATTATTTATCTTTCACAAATAGATGGGAAAACATCAGCAATGAATAGAATTTTAGCTATACTATTGCATTTTATCGTTCAAAAAAATCTTAAAAATTAGAAAGATTATATGTTATTCATTAAGTTTGCTTAAAATCAAAGTGTGTGTTCCACTACTAATTATTTCTCATTTGAGATTGTTTATGATTTTAAATTAAATTTGATTTTTTTTACTTGTTGATGAATTGATATGTTTTGATAGAAGTAAAAAAGCACAAGTGATAAAAACACTCCATTGAAGTGTTTGGCAGTTTATAAAAAAGAATAATAACCAAATTGTAACCAAAGCTAATAAAGGGTGTTAACATGTTATTTTTTAAATAGGTAATGGAGTTTGGGTGTATATATGAAAAGAGAGGTTTTCATCCCATATGAGATATAAGTTATAACCAAGAAGATATGGTCTATTCCTAGTTCTAGAGAGAATCAATGATAATATCTACAAAATGAATCTTTTAATTGAGTATGGTATTAGTGATATTTTAACTATTTCTAAATTTTTTTTGTTTGATATAGATAATGATTCAGGATTGAATTTTTTTTTTTTTTGTTTGATATAGATAATGATTCAAGATTGAATTTTTTTAAGGAAAGGATGAATAATGCAAATTAGCCTATAATATTAAAGGGTTCACTAGAGATGCTAATTTGACCAATTATAATGCCAATGATCAATAAATTCAAAGAGATATTTAATAGATTAGTTCATAATATTTAGCTCAATTCCAACTTCAAATCATCTACTTGTGATGATGATTAACTTAATTAATTTAATTTATCAGAAAAAAGGATTGGTTTATGGGCTTGAATATTTCAGCAACTTAGATTTCTACATAGAGAGGTGGAAACTTCTCCTAATGTTATAATGGTGTTTTGGAAGCTTGGAGTTTCCATACCATGCAAAGAATCCTTATTTTTCATGGACAAATAGGTGGTAGAAAATAGAGGAATTATTATCAAAGTTTCCTTGTTTATTTAGGAAACTTAAATTTTGCATCACTATTATAATGATATAATGATTCCTAGACTCTCAGGATATAAGGGAAGCATCACTATTATAATGATATAATGATTCCTAAACTCAGGATATAAGGGTTGACAATAAAGTTTTTTAAGCAAATGCGAGATTTAATGTTTGTGTTGTATAGTTCATTACATGTGGCATTAGTATTTTAAACATAAGACTTGGGCTCTTGTTTCAATTTTTTGTTTTGGGCTTTATGTCACATATTTTAGGTTATATTTAAATTGAGATTAATATTAGTCACTAGTCCATCAGGGGCATGTTTATTTTGACTCTTTAAATACTTTTTTGTTAGGTTTTTTTTTTTTTTGAAATGCATTGACTTTGTTGCATATTACGTGTGCTTCTGTGAAGATTTTCCGTGCCTTTTAGTTCTTTATTGAATTAATTGTGATTTACGGAACATCAATTATCTTTATCGTATTTTACCTTATATATTAAAATGATATTCAACGATTACTTTATTAAAACAAATGTTTTGAGAGTTAGGAGGCCGTCATTAGCATGCAATATTTTTAATCCCATAACAAACGACATAAATCAAGCTCTCAAATAAAATACAGGAATAAGAACTTCAGTGTTATGAGAGGATAAATTAATTTTCAAAATCTTCGCTTTATTTCCCATGCCCTTGCAGTGCAAAAACATCACAAAAGATAACTTCTAGGAGCCACCAGTACAATACTGCATGAGCTTGTATATATATATATATTTGTAGGCTGGCAAAACGTTCTGAGATTGAAGAACACAATTATGCATGCGTTCCTGGGTGTAGAGAGAGGTTATGAAATGATGGATAGATCATAAACGCCATAATTTACAAAAACGGGCCCTCACAGGACTCTATACATGAAGACACCCTAAGTGCATATGTTTTCAACATATTCTGATGCAGAATGGCTTTAAATTAATGATGACAACGTAGAAGCTGTAATTTATCTAAAGAGCATTTTGAGTTCCTCAATCCTAGCGGACCTGACCTCCTCGTCGGTGAGAGCACCAGCAATCATTCTCTGCTTCTTTGCCTGAACTTGCTGCAGGCGTTCCTCAACTGTGCTCTGTCACATTGGTCGGTGGCAAAACATTTGATTAGCAGCTAAGAAAGTGGAAAAGACAAGAATTTATGAGCACAGGCAAGATGACACTTTGATAATACTCGTTAATGGACCTTTTTGCCAATCGAACTCCTGGCTACTTCAATTAAATGGTTGCAAAAGTTCTCAAGGTACTTGTTAATGAACCACTCAGTCACACAACATCACAAGTTCGTAATAGTAACTGCAGTTCATTCCAGACCAATAATACAATCTCAGTTGGCCTCGAGAAACAATTCAAAAAGTGCCTCTATCAGGAGCTTAAGATTTTTGTTTTTGGCTGTTCCAAGGCTTGAGCCTAATCCTCTTCAGCTAGGTTCAGATCACCCACCTTTCCCCTTTTTTTTTTTGTTCTGAATAATGCCAGCTAGGTTCAGATCACCCACCTTTCCCCATGTTTTTTTTTTTGTTCTGAATAATGTTTGGCCTAGATTACTTTGGTTCCTAAACTAAACTATAGATGAGTGTATCTTCATCAATCCGGCAAAATATAAATTAAACTAAATCACATTTCTGGTCTAAATCTTCACATATTCCAACTAGAAATTTGACGAGAACCCAAAGAAAATCCAAAGTATAATCTAACCTCAACAATGAATCTTCTAACAAAAACTGTTCGCTTCTGTCCTATCCGATGGATTCTCATTATTGCTTGCTCCTCGACTGCAGGATTCCACCATGGATCCTGCATATTTTAAAGTAACAGATTTTTAAGTGCTTGCTCCTCGACTGCAGGATTCCACCATGGATCCTGCATATTTTAAAATAACAGATTTTTAAGATAAAGGTGGGAAACTCTTTCCTTTATGAAAAGAAATTAAGATATGAAAATGTACCATTAAGAAAACAGTTGAGGCTGCAGTAAGATTCAGGCCTACGCCGCCGGCTTTTAAAGACATCAATAATACCTGAGATATACGATAATTGGTTAAGAAAATTATTAAACCATCGAGAACTGCAAAGACATCAAATTCCGGAAGGTAATTAACTACCACGGGCACTTGAAACTGCTTACCATTTTTTCCCTGGTTTCATTGAACTCCTTCAAAGTCCTCTCTCTCTGCTTCTGTGCAAGTTTTCCATCAAACCTTAAGAACCCAATTCCTCTCCTTTTCAGTGGGATCTCTAAAAGATCCAAAAATGAAGTCCACTGGCTAAAAACAATGCTCTTTTCACCAAAGCCTGACCTATGGATATGTTCCAAGCATTCCAGAAGCTTGGAAACCTTTGAAGACTCCTTCCAGTCATTCTCAACATCAACCTGGAACTTACCCTCTGTTGGGCATGCTATCAGGTCATTTGCATTCAGTGAAGTTCGACAGATTGGGCATATCCCTGATATTGGTGTTTGCCAGTAAGAGATGAGACATTCCCTGCACATCCTATGTACACATGGTGTAAGCACGGGGTCATCTGCAGACTCCATGCATATGGGACACTCGGTATTTTCACCCCTCCGGATGCCCTCAACAACCTCTTCAATGTATGCTGGAGTAGGTGACAAGATAATACAAGAGAAATTCTGAAATGTTTTCTGTCCACCTTTCACTAAGAGAGTTACAATATATATATACATCAAGAAGTATCAAAACCCTTAATTCTAGCATCTAATAAACATAATCAGATTCTTTAATACTAGGCCTAGACAATAATTGAGATCTTTAGAGAGAATCCAGGGATATACAGCTATGACAGAAATTAAACAAAGAAAGAAGAATATAGTGACAGCTATGAAAGAAATAGAATAAGAAAAGGAGAATATACTGACAGCTACAAAAGAAAGACTAATAGCTATTAAAAAAATGAAATAAAAGAGAATATATTGACATCCCCCCTCAAATTGATGCGGGTAGGTCGAACAACATCAATTTGCGACTGAGAAACTTATGTCGTTGGCGTGTCAAGGCTTTTGTAAAGGCATCAGCTATTTGAAGAGCAGTATTGAGATGAGGAAGAGTGATAACACCGCGAGTAAAGGCCTCCCTAATATAATGACAGTCCACCTCTATGTGCTTGGTGCGTTCATGGTAGACCGGATTTGCAGCTATTTGAATAGCACTAGTATTATCACCATGAAGTGGAGTAGGAGCAGTAGGGGGGAACCCAAGTTCAGAAATAAGACCACGTAACCACACAATTTCAGAACAAGCTGCTGACATGGCTCGATACTCAGCCTCTGTAGAAGATTTAGAGACACAATCCTGCTTCTTACACTTCCAAGAGATCAAGGCATCTCCAAGAAAAATGCACCAGCCTGTAATAGATTTTCTAGTATCTGGGCAGCCAGCCCAATCCGCATCACTATAGGAAGTCAAGGTAAGAGTAGAATGTTTGGGAAAAAACAACCCACGAGTAGGGGACCCAATTAAGTATCGAATAAGACGACGAACTGCAGCAAGATGAAGATGTCGAGGTGCCTGCATAAATTTGCTAACTATATGGACAGCATAGGAGATATCAGGCCTTGTAATTGTTAGGTAGATAAGACTACCAACAAGTTGCCGATATAAAAAAGGATTAGGCAAAAGCTCGCCTTCATCTTTTCGGTATTTCACATTCACCTCCATTGGTGTATCAACAGCAGTAGCATTCTTTAAATCAGCAAGCTCAATGAGATCCTGAATATATTTATGTTGATTTAAGAACAAACCATGATCTCTAGAGTGAACTTCCAGCCCCAAAAAATATGTGAGATGTCCAAGATCTTTCATTTGAAATGTACTATGTAACATATGTTGAAGCTTGGTGATCAACCCAATGTCATTACCAGTGAGGATAATATCATCAACATAAACTAAGAGAAATACCATACCAGTGGTGGTCTTGTAAAAGAAAAGGGATGAATCATATTGACTTTGTGTGAAGGAGAAGGTGAGAAGAGTGTTGCGAAACTTCTCAAACCAGGCTCTAGGTGCTTGTTTCAACCCATACAAAGAGCGTCTTAGTTTGCAAACTGCATTAGAAGCCTTTATGGACATACCAGGTGGAAGTGTCATATAAATCTCTTCCTTAAGATCCCCATGCAAGAAGGCATTGGTTACATCCATCTGATATAAAGGCCAGGCTTTAGAGGCTGCAATAGCAAGAAGTGTTCTCACCGTAGTCATCTTAGCAACGGGTGCGAAGGTTTCTTCATAGTCGAAGCCATATTGTTGTTTATTGCCAAGAGCAACCAATCGAGCTTTGTATCTATCCAAAGATCCATCAGACTTGAGTTTCACAGTATAAACCCACATGCTCCCAATAGGCTTAACATGTGAAGGACAAGAAATAATGTCCCAAGTATGATTGGCCTTAAGTGCGTGAAGTTCTGCCTCCATGGCTTGTTTCCAGCACTCATGTTTGCTAGCCTGTTTATAACAAGTGGGAATGGAAATAGAAGAGAGAGTAGTAGACATAGCCACAGGAGTGGAAAAACCATACCTTTCAGGAGGTTTGTGAGGTCTAGAGCTTCTACGAAGAGGAGGGGGATCATAGGAAATGGGCAGAACAGGATCAGATGTTGCAGGAAGATGTGAAGGAACCTCGGTGATACCTGGAGAAAGAGCAGAAGCAGGAGTGCGTCTATGATAAACATAACCAGGTTTAAACCTTTGTATTAGTGTTGACGACTTAGAAAAAGATGGTAAAACAGATAAAGATGGAAATACAGAAGGCTGTTGGGTGCAAAAGAAAGGCTGATTTTCAAAAAATATAACATTCCTAGAGACACGAGTTCGACGTGCATGTGGATCATAACAAAGAAATCCTTTTTGGGTGACAGCATAGCCTAAGAAAGCACACTTGACGGATTGGGCAGTAAGTTTATTTCTCTCATGTGCAGGAAGGTGAACAAAACAAACACATCCAAAAATATGAAGATTGGAATAATTTGGTGCATGTCCAAACAAACGAACATAGGGAGAATCATTGTTCAAGTGAGGAGATGGTAATCGATTAATTAAATAAACAGCAGTACATAAAGCTTCACACCAAAAATGAGAAGGAACATATGACTCAAGGAGAAGAGTTCGAACAACATCAAGAAGATGACGATTCTTTCTTTCAGCCACACCGTTTTGTTGTGGGGTGAAAGGACAAGAACGTTGTGATATGATCCCATGACTTTGAAGAAAAAATTGAAATGCATTTGACATATATTCACCACCTGAATCAGATTGCAGAATTTTAATTTTGGCAGAAAATTGTGTCTCAACTAAGGCAAGAAGGGCTTTAAACACAGAGAAAACCTCACTTTTAGATCGAAGAAAATATACCCAAGTAAAACGAGTGAAATCGTCTATAAATGTAACAAAATATCTATAATGTTCATGAGAAATGACAGGTGCAATACCCCATACATCAGTATGCACGATTTCAAAAGGTTTGGTGGTGTGAGTTTTATGCAATGGAAAAGGAAGTGTTTTGCTTTTACCAAGTTTGCAAGATGCACAATCAACAATATCATTATGAGAAGAAGTTGAATTTTTATTTCCTAATAAACCAGATTTAAACAAGACTCGAAGTACATGAGAATTAGGATGTCCTAAACGTCTATGCCACACCTGATTATCACAGTGAGCAGCATTACATGCAACATAATTTAACATAGGAGAGGGAGATAGAAACAAGGGAAATAGACGTCCCACTTTAGGTCCCTTCACGATCATCTTCCCGGACACTTGATCCTGCACAAAACAACCAGATTTGGAAAAATGAACATCACAATTGTTGTCAACTAATTGGCCAACAGATATGAGATTAGTGGACAGCTTAGGAGACACAAAGACAGTATTTAGAAGGGCTGAAATATCACCAACAGCTGTGATAGACAAAGGATTACCATCGGCAGTACGAATATGAAGATTACCTTTATATTTTTTAACATTATTTAAAGGTAAGACAGTGTTGGTCATGTGATTAGAAGCAGCAGAATCAAAATACCAAGGCTTAGGAATGGAATTTCGGTTACCTGAAAGGCCTAAAGCAGAAAGGGCAGAAACTATCATTTGTTGGACCATTTCAGGGGTAATAGAGGACTGACCAGGACTAGGAGTATTGGAGGAACCAACCGAGACATTATAGGCGGTTTCAGATTTCTTTGGAGGCCGGATGGAGCAATCTTTGATGATATGCCCTGTTTTCTTACAATAGTTGCAGAATTTTTTGGTACAAGTAGTGGCAATGTGCCCAAATCCTTTGCAGCTATAACACTGAACATTTGACATATTTCTACCTCCTTTAAACCTCCCTTGAGCAGTGTATGCAACAGGGATTGGAGTAGAATTTTGAGCTTTCTGCTCCAAGACAGCTTGTGTAATGATCCGTTGTTCTTCCCTGAGAAGCTCTCCTACACAAATATCCAAGAAAGGAACTGGTTCTCTATTCATCAGGTTGGACCTGATTGCTTCAAATTCCCCTCTTAACTTCATTAAAAATTGATCACGCTTGCTAGTCTCATGCACACTTTGAATAACAATAAGTCCTTCAAGAGGTACACTTGCATACACAATGTCTGTGTACTCAGCCCAAAGATTTACAAAGGAAGAATAAAATTCTTGTATTGACATACTACCTTGATTGAGTTGACCCAACTCAAGTTCCAATTGAAACCTTCGTGCTGTATTGCTTTGGTTGTAAACTTTCTTTAGGTAATCCCACATTTCTCTAGATGATTTGTAAGGCTTGAGATTGAGAAGCATGGAGTGTTCCATACTTCCAAGGATCCAAGACATAATCTGAGCATCCTTCACCTCCCATTTCACATATTTCTCCTTTTCCTGCTCACTGTCAGGTGCAGGAACTGTCCCAGCAATATGACCCCATAATTCCTTTCCCTTGACAAAAATCTGAAACTGGAAAGCCCAGGCAGAATAGTTCTTTCCAGTAAATCGAACAATAAAATGTTCAGATCGTTCCATAGACAAGATTTAACTAGAAACAAGAACAAAAAGATCAAGTCCAAGAAAAAACAGAATAAAAGAACCAGATAAGGAACTAGACACAAGATGAATTGATTTCAGAATTTTGGCTCTGATACCATGACAAGATAATACAAGAGAAATTCTGAAATGTTTTCTGTCCCCCTTTCACTAAGAGAGTTACAATATATATATACATCAAGAAGTATCAAAACCCTTAATTCTAGCATCTAATAAACATAATCAGATTCTTTAATACTAGGCCTAGACAATAATTGAGATCTTTAGAGAGAATCCAGGGATATACAGCTATGACAGAAATTAAACAAAGAAAGAAGAATATAGTGACAGCTATGAAAGAAATAGAATAAGAAAAGGAGAATATACTGACAGCTACAAAAGAAAGACTAATAGCTATTAAAAAAATGAAATAAAAGAGAATATATTGACAGTAGGTGCCGATTGCCTTATGGTGGCAGAACTAGCATGGCGGATGGCCTCAACAACCTCTTCAATGCATGCTTCAGTGGCAGCTGACTGCCTTGGAGTGGAAGAATTAGAATTTGTTTCCACAAACCTTCTTGCATACTTGTTCAATTCCTCATATCGTTGGATATCAGCTCGACTGCACATTCACAATTTAGAAACAAAAACAGAAAATTCGCTTTCTTTTTAACAAATAAAGGAAAATATCTTCAATTCTAGTCCCACCTCATAACAAGAAATGGGTGGTTGCAACACTGCCTCAGTCGTAGTAGCAGCTCAAGGACAGATGCATAGTTGTGCAGAACCTTGCCCTGAGCAACAAACTCTTCAAACTGGACCTGTTCAGATTTAAAAAAAAAAAAAAAACACTCAGTTGAACTCTGTTTCCATCATATATTCAATATAATTCATCCTAAATGGAAGGTGACAATAACTAACACTCACTTTTGATCTTCTAAAAAGGGCATCATAAAAATCACGTTCAGCTTCCGATTGTTCACACTTGATTATTTGAATGTCAGTTGGAGGGAGAACAAGTATGGGCCTAAATCAAATGCATCAAACAACAGAAAAATGTCAGTTGGAGGAAGAACAAGTATGGGTCTACATCAAATGCATCAAACAACATAATGATGAAAAAGATTTTTGCTGCGGTAAAAAATAATAATGACAATAAGAAGAAAGGTTGAAAGACCAAGTGTTCACCTTCCCTTCTTATCCTTTGTATCCTTGGTCCTTCTCAACATTAGCGGCCTCAAAATAGCCTTGATCAACTTCATGGCTCTAGGGTCTCCATTTTCATGCGGTCTTTGAATTAATTTGTTCCACCTATTCCAAAGTCAGACTGTATTATGGACAAAGACATGAAACAAATCCCAGAATAAATGCCTGAGTAAATGATTAAAGTTCAGTCTAGGTGAAAGTTAGAATCATATTATTTTTTTACACCAATCAGCAAGGGGCAATGAGCGTGCATTCCTACCATGGCCAGTTGCACCAAGGCTCAACATGCAAGAAGCACAGAAGGCTGTACAGATCTTCCAAGGTGTTCTGTAACAATAGATGAAGAGAGAATTTGTTAATTGCTCAAGCAATGGGCATCCACTTTCTTGATATCTAGTACACCAAAACCACGATAAATTGTTGAAAAAGAGAGTTCTTCTCAAAAATAGCTACTTAGAAAGGATAACATAAAGCAAGAGGAAAAACATATAGTACTTCTGTGCATCAGCAATTTCAGAGAAAAATGTGCATTAATGAATAAGAAAACAGACCTGAATAGGTGTCCCAGTAAGACACCATTTGCAATATGACGACAATGAAAATGTAGCCTTTGCGGCTAAGGTCTTCCAGGACTTGATGGTATGAGCTTCATCTAGCACCACCCTATGCCACTCAACCCTATTAAAAATGCTATTCTCCATATCCTGTATCAGATCAAAAGAAGTTTGAAGTTGGGAGAGAAACTACTAGAACAATTACTAAAAGAAAGATGAAATAACTGGTAAAAGTACAGCTTAATAATTTAAACCTCTTGATATCCATACGAAATTGATTAATAAATGAAAGAAGTATGTTCTTACATGCTTGTAAGCTTCAGTTAGGACACCATATGTTGTCAAGACCACATCATATCCAGATAAAATCCTGGGGTTATTTGTTTTGTACCCGCCATAGTGAACAAAAATGGAAATGCTTCCTGGCTCTGAATGGGTTTCAAGCTCATCCTGGCATAAAAGACCTATTAAGACGTAGAACAAAAGACATAAAAGAATAACAGTATCTCTACAATGTAATATTCAAAGCATCTATCAATTAATTGAATTATTATAAGGAACTATTTTTCTCCGTAGATGTTGTGACACCATAGTTCGAAATATTCTATCTCTAATCAGAGACTAGAAAAGAGGCAGGGATATTATACATGATTCTTTTCATTATCTTACGTCATGAGGGAAGAGAATCACCTTCCACTGGCCTAGCAAAGCCATGGGGCAGATAATAAGAGTGCCACCCATTGCTTTAGGCATGGTTTTTGCGCGGGGATCTTCTATTCTGTTTACTCTTTCTTTGCAGTCAGAGCTTCCTTTGCCTGGTCTTGCTAGTATAAGAGCAATTGTCATCACTGTCTTTCCAAGTCCCATTGCATCAGCTAGTATCTACAGAGGCACTTATCAAGTCAGACAACAACACCACCTCCCCTCAAGAAAATGCACATGCAATGTGTCGCCCACATGCAAATGAAAGGGAAAATGGGAAGAGTAAACAAGTCGAATCTCAACACAACATAATTATCAAACAAAGTCGAATCTCAACACAACATAATTATCAAGCAAGGAAAAAAACAAAAAAAAAACGATTGTAAGCACAATAATATGAGGCCAAGGCATATTGATCTGAAAATAAGCTGGACAGTTTAGAAACATACTCCCCCTTTAGTCATCTGTGATGCAGTTGGAAATTGAGTAGTGGCTTCCCCAGAAAATATGTTTAAATAAATGCTTGGCGATGAAGCCCTCCTGCATCAAGCATGCTCGGTCAAGTTTCATAATGTTAGCATGTGGAGCATACACTTCATTTGTTAGAAACTACGTACCTGTCCGATATGCGATAAGCTGCCCAACATGGATTAAGAGTTTCTGCTGCTTTCTCAGCTTTATTTCCCTTCTCTGATTCAGCCATCCAATAGAGAGCTTGTTTCTGATACGGTTTCAAATTACAGGTTAGGGTCCATGGAGGCTCCATCTCCTGCACAATTAAAAGAGAATGATTAGGGAAATATGCTAAAGATGAGATTCAGAGCTATATATTCCCTCGATCCTGGAAATAAGAGATTTAAAGCTTTTACCTCCAAGTCATATGTATCTACAGCACCAACAAGTTTATTCAAAGATGACTCAGAGAAAGCTTGTTCATCCTTCTCTTGATCTTGCTGGCATCCTGATCCCCTTTTCACTACATGCAACATAAGGGCATCTTCCTCTGGATCCTGTTTTTATCAACAATTTAAGTATTCGCACTAAAATGAATGCACTCGTAATTTAACCATATGCTTTAAATAGTTCAGATGCTGGAAACAACAACACTTACAGTTCCATGTTATGAGATGAATTCAGTCATTTCAATAAGATTTAACAATTAACAGTAGTTCTTTTTGTAAAAATTGGAATGTTAGAAGCAACTTCCATATGCACTATCAAATTCAAGATGTCAAATGCAGTTGCACGAAGGTTTCAACCATACGGGGCAATACAATGGTAAGGCCAGATGCACTATATTTTATCCAAGTTACAAAAAGGTCATCTTTAAATGCCAGCTCTTGACATAGCATTTAATTAACCAATAATAAGAACCAAAAATTAGATACATAAGATACATATACATTCACAAGAGCAAGTGGAATATATCAAAACAATTCCATTGTTGGACAAAAGTATAGGCATACATACTTCATAGTTGAGGGGTCGCTTTCGAGAGTCAAGTTCTGCAGGACTAAATTCAGCCTGGTTGAACAAGGATAAAAGGTCAAGAATAAAAAGCAAAAGTCAATTAAAAGACTCCATCAAAATCACAAACTGGTATATAACAGTTAGAATTTAACATTACAAAGGAAAATAAAAATTAATGATACCTTCTGATATGGTTTCATGTCCAGTAGCTTGAACAACGTAGCAAGGGGGTGAGCTGTAGGATCAATGTTTGGAGGAGCATCTATCCTCCATGTTGAAATACACAACTCAGTGAATATCGATTGGTGAACATAGAAACTGGCAAACAAATTAAAATAGGTACTATGAAAAATCAACCAATCAAGTCAAAATCATTACCAAACAGATCCAAACTGAAACACTAAGAGGGAAAAAAAACAGAATTTTACCTCACATACAACACAACATCCTGCAACATTTGAAGGTTCTCTGGTGCAGCTACACATCGTCCACTAACTCTAACCCTGCCAGAATTCACAAGTGGAACAGCACTTTTTCCCCACTCCATCGGAAGCCTACCAATCTAACAAAAAAAAAAAACAATCAAGTGATTCGCAATCCTTGAAAATGAACCCACTCCATCGGAAGCCTACCAATCTAACCAAAAAAAAAACAATCAAGTGATCGCAATCCTTGAAAATGAAAAAAACCCATGTTCAGAAATATATTCAATCAGAAATATATTCAAATAAACAAATAATAAACAATCAACTTATAGCTCATAACTACTCTTGCACGGTTATAATACATGATAAAGAAATAAAAAAAGTTAAATCTTTTTTGATATTTCAAAAAATCTAAGATTCCAATAAAGAAACTAATAGCAATAAAACTGACCTCTCCAAATCTTTTAGTAGAGAATCGAATAATGCCCTGTCTATGATACTTGGAGCCAAAACTAGAGAAACCAAAATGGACTATTTCATTGTCCACCAATTTCCTTCCTTTAGTAGTTGATGAAGCGGTAATAAGAGAGCCACCAACCAAGTACCAATCTTTCTCTTCTGGGAAATCACCAGTTTCCACTTCAACAACATTCTCATCAGCCAATTCTTTTCTGACATGGGTTTGGACCCGAATCCCGGTGCCTGTTCGCGTACTCATTTAATAGTTGCTTGCTTCTGGGTCGTCGCGATTGATCCGTAAATATCGAAGATTTTTCTTTTTGGGTGTTTTGTTTTATTGGGAGCGGGGGGGTATGTATTTGTACTGGGAACTTTTTGGCGCCAAAGTGAAAAGTCTGGCTGTCCTTTTCATATATTTTTACCTCCGTCAATTTGGTTTTGGAGCGCGCGAGGGGGGAAAAAAAAGGAGTGGAGTAAATACTAGATGGCTGGGCCTCCAAGCATGCTATTCTTTGAAAAATTATTTTTTAAAAATATATGAAATAATATTTTTTTTAATTTTTAATTTTTTTAATATTAAAATATTTAAAAATACTAAAAAAATTATTTAAAATTTAAAAAAATAAATTCAATCACAACCCTAAATAAAGCAGAGTTGCAATTGCGATCAAATCAAAATCTAATTGTAATTTATATCTTTTTAATTTTTGTTCAGAAATAATTTTTATTTTATTTTATTAAAGTTAATTAAATATACTCTAAATTTTTTATACATGTTTAGATTTAAGTGAAGTTCATCTTAAGGTATTTTTTAAATTTTTTTTATTAAAAATTAATGCATTTAAAGAAAAGAAACAATAGTTGGACTTGAATTTTTCTTGCCATCTAAACTATTTTAATTATGTTTAATATGTGTTATAATGCTCAATAATAATAAAAAAAAAGTATAAATAACGAGTAACATGATTTTAAAATATAATATAAAAATAAAATATTAATAATTTTAAAAACATTTAAGTTGAAATAAAAAAAATTATTTGCATTTTAAAATTGCAAAACCCTATTTTAGCTCCGAAATACCTTTGACTACACTATATACTTATATTTATAGATAAATACAATACACGAAAATCAGTAACCTTTCAGTCATTTTCTTTTTTATTTCAAAATAAAAATCCCACTTCCAAAATTGTACTTATTGAAAAATATAAATCCACACAAAATCTAACAAAATCCAATTTCATTTATTAAAAACAAATTGTAATCCTGTAAAAATAACTGGGCTTTGATGGTTGGGCCTCTGAGCCGATGCATGACCCATCAAACATTCAAAAACCAGAAACCCAATAACAACTACTTCGCTTCACTTCGATATCTTCTTCATTTCGCCTCTCTCTCACACCCACAGTCCAACACCACCGTCAATGGCGGTCGCAACTGCAACGGCATCGAGCTTCGGGTTCCACAAGCGCATGTTAGCATCACCCACGGTATCTTCACGAACTATAAATCCTAACAGAACCTTAGCTTTCTCTTCCTCCCCTTCTACTTCTTCTTCTTCAAGGGCCTCTCTTTCAACCTGCTTTCTCTCTCCTTTCGCTGGGGGAAGCATCACCTGTGATTTCTCTGGCACTATAATTCGACCGGAATGCCTCAATCCAGCTTCAATTTCGAGTTCCAAAGGCAAAAGAAGCGTTGTTACCATGGTATGAATTGTTGACTTCAATTATTTTTATCTTAAATTTTTCTCTTTTAGGTTTAAATTAACGATAAAATGCAATTAATTAGTAATTTTTATTGCTATTGTTTAAAGCATAAACATTGGAAAGTGGATAAGCTAACTGTTTTTCCTGCACTTGTGGTTGTGGCTCGCTATTGAGGATATGTTACTAATGGAATCTTTTATGGGTTTTGAGAGTTGGGTTAAAAAATCGAGCTGGTAAGGAAGGGTTGCACTGTGTTTGCAATTGCATGGAATTGAGATTATTTGCGATTGAGGATTTGTTATTAATGGAATCATCTTTTCTTTTGAATTCTTTGTCGTGTCTTCCTATTAGTGAAGGAGATTCTTTAGCCTTTTGTTCTGCATGACTTCCCCAGTGCTCTCAATTCCCTTAAGATGATGCCTTATTTTCCTCCTTATATTTTTCCTCTAACAACATATGAAAAGTCAGTTAGCTGGTCCATGATCGTTCTTGATTGCACCCACATCATCTCTTTCGTCCCTACATCCAAGACCTAGGATAGGTTATACATACCTTTCCAGCTGTTGTTTTCCATTCAAAAAATATCAAAGTTTCAAAATTTTTCTTGTTGACCTAGGAGTGGCTGTTATTGCTTCTGTTCATGTTCCTAACCTGGTTGATCTCTGACATAAACATTGCGTTTGTTACCATAAAGTTTTTTGCAGTTTGGGGACTTGACAAGCTCATTAGTTTGCGAATTTATTCTAAATCATTTATCAATCATGATTTGAATCTTTACAGCATTCTTTATTCTATATTCATGTTGAGTTGAACCTTTATTTCAACTATGTCATTGAAAAGTTCTCATATCTGCAAGCTCTTATGTGTCTGTTTGAATATGTCCAGGTTATTCCATATACCAGGGGAAGTGCATGGGAGCAACCTCCTCCTGACTTGGCATCTTACTTGTTCAAAAATCGGATTGTCTACTTGGGGATGTCTCTTGTTCCTTCCGTCACGGAGTTAATACTAGCAGAATTTCTTTACCTTCAGTATGAAGATGAAGAGAAACCTATTTACCTATACATAAACTCCACGGGCACTACTAAGGTTGAGTGTTTTTCATGCTATTTTTTCTTCACATGACTTTGTGCGTGCATGTTCTTTTTTTTTTCCCATGCAAGTGTTTATTAGCCAGAATGCCATGTTGCTCCCATAAAGTTTTTCACAGTTGACTTTGATATGCAAAGTGGGCTACACTTGTAATCTTGTTGGTGATTGTGGGCAGCATATAGTCTTCTGTTTCAATCGGGACTTGCAGTCCTGAGGAGGTGGAAACTCCCTGGGAGTTCAACGAAAGACATTAAAACTTATTCATTCTGATAATTGCTATATATTTGTCTGTATTCAATAAAGAATCCACTCTTCTATGGAAGCTTGTTTATGCCAACTTATTTTATTTAGTTTTAATTTAAAGATATGTATTTAGTTAGAGTTCAGCTTGAAGAAAAATATTAGTACTTTAAGAAAACTTGAGAATTGGTAAATAGAAAGGTTGTTGTGTCAGAAACTTTAATTGCTTATTGAACTCACAACACTTGTTGATTCTGGAATTTCATACTGTGTTAGTTAACTCTGGGTATTATTCAGATTTATGGAAATATTAAGGGCGTGTTGGAAAAAAAATTACATTGTAACTTTGTTTAGTGTGGTGTAAAATGTAGCAAATAAAATAAGAAGGCGAGTGATAAAGTAAAATAAAAGGTTTGTTTTTTCTTGGAGGCATAAATGGTATCGTTTTTCTAGTGTATGCATTTTTGTCAACACAAAATAAGATAGAAAATTGGTGCATTTCCATTTTAACATGAATGATGGTATAAGATCACAATTTGGCATATATTTTTTGGAAGCCATGAGTTTCGAGTTATTCTATTTCTTTTCTCTTCTACCTTTCTTTATATATTATCAATTTAATGGCTGGATGTCAACAACATTATATGACTATATATGATATTAGCTGTTATGTCATTGGACTCAATGTAGACGCTGGTTTTGGCTTCACACATCTGTGTAGTATTTCGAAAAGACTTTAAAAGGAAATAGAAGCTAAAAAATTGTACCGGGCAATTTTATGCTGATGACACTTTTATTTTCTCATGTCTTTTCAGGGTGGGGAAAAGCTGGGATACGAGACAGAGGCTTTTGCTATCTATGATGTTATGGGGTCATAAATCACCTTACCTTTATTTATAATTCCATGTTATTATGAAATCCAGTTTTGCAGCTCCTATTTTGCATTTAGAGTATTTCTCAATGATTCACAAAACTGCCTTTTATACCCCCAAGTTCTGTAGGTGGCACTTGATTTGTTCATGTTATGAATCATGCTGACACCTCATGGTAACCTGGCAGCCTTCTCAGGCTATAAAATCTAACTTTGCCTTCAAAACTAGTCCTTAAGATCCAGTCTGAATTTTCCCAAAATTGCATGTTCCTGTACTACTCGTTGATTTTTCTATCTGAGTTTCATTACTGAAGGGAAATATGTTTAAATCAGTGGAATCAATTCTTAACTTATTTGAAAGGCTTGAACTGAAAGGACAAAATTATGAGAATAGCTTTTGTAAATGCTTCCAAAGCAGCCTAACATATTATGAATTGAGATGAGTTCCCCAAGTATGTTTATTGCGTTGGACTGGATGAGGAAGATGTTTGTGTTTGGAGTGTATGCCATCTTCTCATTAATGTTAGCCATGTCCATGCGAAAAGCACAGTTTACTCTCCTGCTTTCTGAGTATTAATATATGCTTCTGTATATATTTATATGCCTGTGAGTGCTTTTAATAATACGTTTTAATTTATCATCTTCAAAGCCTACTGGCTGATGGTGAGAGAGCAGACTAGTTTAGTTCTGACATGAGTGTATCATATGTACACCTTTATTGGTGATCAAGTTCAGCATATATCATAGTGATAATATTTTATTGGTGGCCTTTATTTCAGTGTGTTCTCTGCTTTGTGATGTTAAAAATAAGTCAATTGACATTTATGAATGCAAACCATTACACCTTCCCACCATTTAGGAAATTCTTGTAGTGTATATTTTCTTTGATGACAGTTTTACATCACTGCAGGTATGTCAAGCCACCTATATTTACTCTTTGTGTTGGTAATGCTTGGGGAGAAGCAGCCTTACTTTTGGCTGCTGGGTCAAGGGGAAACCGTTCTGCTTTACCCTCATCAACAATCATGATGAAGCAGGTATTTCTTGGATAGATGGTGTTCAATTATATCCAACTTCTTTCATCTTGAAAGTTTTTCTTTCTTGACTGCAATCATTCTCTAGAATTCAGAGTCAAAACTTTGTGCACTTTCTCAATGATTCTACAGCCAATTGGGAGATTTCAAGGTCAAGCAACAGATGTTGAACTTGCCAGGAAAGAAATAAAGAATGTGAAAGCAGAATTGGTAAGATTTATGGTTACTTTCTATTACTTTTTTATAAGAATAGTTATAATTTTTTACTACAAAGTTTCCGACCTCAATCTATGGTTGCTGGTTACTAGGAACTGTTTTTTTCTTTGGCGGGTTGTAGTACCTATTTTGTGAACTAGTCTGAACAATGA